AGCTGTGTATCCAGTCAGCTGGCTATAAATGCCACATATATACCCACATAGTGCTCATATATACACTGTATAGAGCTGTGTATCCAGTCAGCTGGCTATAAATGCCACATATATACCCACATAGTGCTCATATATACCCTGTATAGAGCTGTGTATCCAGTCAGCTGGTTATAAATACCACATATATACCCACATAGTGCTCATATATACACTGTATAGAGCTGTGTATCCAGTCAGCTGGCTATAAATACCGCATATATACTCACATAGTGCTCATATATACACTGTATAGAGCTGTGTATCCAGTCAGCTGGCTATAAATGCCACATATATACCCACATAGTGCTCATATATACCCTGTATAGAGCTGTGTATCCAGTCAGCTGGTTATAAAAACCACATATATACCCACATAGTGCTCATATATACCCTGTATAGAGCTGTGTATCCAGTCAGCTGGCTATAAATACCACATATATACCCACATAGTGCTCATATATACACTGTATAGAGCTGTGTATCCAGTCAGCTGGCTATAAATACCGCATATATACCCACATAGTACTCATATATACACTGTATAGAGCTGTGTATCCAATCAGCTGGCTATAAATGCCACATATATACCCACATAGTGCTCATATATACCCTGTATAGAGCTGTGTATCCAGTCAGCTGGCTATAAATGCCACATAAATACCCACATAGTGCTCATATATCCCCTGTATAGAGCTGTGTATCCAGTCAGCTGGCTATAAAAACCACATATAGTGCTCATATATACACTGTACAGAGCTGTGTATCCAGTCAGCTGGCTATAAATGCCACATATATACCCACATAGTGCTCATATATACCCTGTACAGAGCTGTGTATCCAGTCAGCTGGCTATAAATGCCACATATATACCCACATAGTGCTCATATATACACTGTATAGAGCTGTGTATCCAGTCAGCTGGCTATAAATGCCACATAAATACCCACATAGTGCTCATATATACCCTGTATAGAGCTGCGTATCCAGTCAGCTGGTTATAAATACCACATATATACCCACATAGTGCTCATATATACCGTGTATAGAGCTGCGTATCCAGTCAGCTGGTTATAAATATCACATATATACCCACATAGTGCTCATATATACCCTGTATAGAGCTGCGTATCCAGTCAGCTGGTTATAAAAACCGCATATATACCCACATAGTGCTCATATATACACTGTATAGAGCTGTGTATCCAGTCAGCTGGCTATAAATGCCACATATATACCCACATAGTGCTCATATATACACTGTATAGAGCTGTGTATCCAGTCAGCTGGCTATAAATGCCACATAAATACCCACATAGTGCTCATATATACCCTGTATAGAGCTGCGTATCCAGTCAGCTGGTTATAAATACCACATATATACCCACATAGTGCTCATATATACCGTGTATAGAGCTGCGTATCCAGTCAGCTGGTTATAAATATCACATATATACCCACATAGTGCTCATATATACCCTGTATAGAGCTGTGTATCCAGTCAGCTGGTTATAAAAACCACATATATACCCACATAGTGCTCATATATACACTGTATAGAGCTGTGTATCCAGTCAGCTGGCTATAAATACCGCATATATACCCACATAGTGCTCATATATACACTGTATAGAGCTGTGTATCCAGTCAGCTGGCTATAAATGCCACATATATACCCACATAGTGCTCATATATACCCTCTGTAGAGCTGTGTATCCAGTCAGCTGGTTATAAATACCACATATATACCCACATAGTGCTCATATATACACTGTATAGAGCTGTGTATCCAGTCAGCTGGCTATAAATGCCACATATATACCCACATAGTGCTCATATATACACTGTATAGAGCTGTGTATCCAGTCAGCTGGCTATAAATGCCACATAAATACCCACATAGTGCTCATATATACCCTGTATAGAGCTGTGTATCCAGTCAGCTGGCTATAAAAAACACATATAGTGCTCATATATACACTGTACAGAGCTGTGTATCCAGTCAGCTGGCTATAAATGCCACATATATACCCACATAGTGCTCATATATACCCTGTACAGAGCTGTGTATCCAGTCAGCTGGCTATAAATGCCACATATATACCCACATAGTGCTCATATATACCCTCTGTAGAGCTGTGTATCCAGTCAGCTGGTTATAAATACCGCATATATACTCACATAGTGCTCATATATACACTGTATAGAGCTGTGTATCCAGTCAGCTGGTTATGAATACCACATATATACCCACACAGTGCTCATATATACCATGTACAGAGCTGTGTATACAGTCAGCCTACAGATCAGGGAAGCGAGGCATGGGGGACAGCCAATAGATCAGGGAAGTGAAGCATGTGGGACAGCCTATAGATCAGGGAAGTGAGGCATGGGGGGCAGCCAATAGATCAGGGAAGTGAGGCATGGGGGACAGCCTATAGATTGGGGAAGTGAGGCATTGAGGGGCAGCCAATAGATCAGGGAAGTGAGGCATTGAGGGGCAGCCAATAGATCAGGGAAGTGAGGCATGGGGGTCAGCCAATAGATCACGGAAGTGTGGCATGATAAAACAAAATAAGCAGAAAGTAGCAGAAAGGTAAAGGAGCAGAAGGAGCCAAGGAGGAGAGAAGACAGTGTCAGTAGAAAAAGAAGACTGTGTCAAATGAAGGAGAAGGAGATCCAGTCACTTTGAAAACTGGTGCGGAACTCCAGACAAATCTCTCCCCAAATGGAATAAAATCCGTTCATCCACCCCTCTACCCTGTACCCTTACTTTGAAGGACACCCAGAATTCCTAGTTGTATTGTCTAGCTAGCTCCAGGGACTCTTGGAAGCTATGTACACCCCTTCTTGTCAGGATACTGACAGGGATCCAATACGCAGAGTGCGGACAGAAGGAGGTACGTATACCGGACCTTAGAATGGCCGGACTAACGTATAGACAAAACAAGAATAGTCAAAAGGTAAGCCGAGGTCGAGGGAGCCGGAGGACAGGTAAGCGAGATACAAGCCGAGTCAAAGGAGAGGAGAGGACAACAGGACAAAAGACAAGCAAGGTCAAAACCGAAAACACAAGAGAGAGAGAACGCGCTGAGTGACTAGCAAGCTAGAACCACGACAGGGCAATGAGCAGTAGTAAAGGTTTCCTTTAAATACCCTGTCACCTTAATTGAGACCACGCCCCCAAAAGGTCCGGAATAGCGGTTCCCGGCACTTCACGTAATGCTGATGTCATGACGTCGACGCTAGCCGTCGCGTCATAAAAGGGGGAGGAGCTAGCGCGGCCGGCGCGAAAACGGCCGGAATTTGCCGAAATGCTAGGGGCAAGGAGCCCCTAAACAGAGAGGATGTCTTCCCTGGAGTCAGCACCAACAGGTACCCTGACACTTCTAGGCACAGAACTGTTTTCTGGATTGGAAATATGCTGCAGTGCGGCAAACTTCAATTAGATATTTCTTGGTCCCCCGATCATCAAACAGAGTGCAATTTGGAGAGGAAATTGGGGAGGTGAGGAGGCAACCAGTGACACCCTGAACTTGTGGAAACTCCCTTATGTGGAACCACAAGAAGCTGGTATCGGTGACCGAAACTTACGACTAAACATTGTGGAATTCTGCATTGGATCGAGAGAATGTTCGCGGCTTGGTCATACTTCATCCAGTGATTGCTCTGACTAGACGCCTCTAATCCAGGTGCTTTTTGGACAGTTTGCACTTCTGAACCAGAGCTCTTTTGGATATCAGGTGGGGAACATTTGTTTTTTGGGGTGTTTTTGTATAGGCACCCTGGTGTCTGGTAGTTAATTAAATGATCTGGCTGTTTGATTAAGTTATGTCCCAGACACCAAGGCGCCCGGATGCGATTACTTGTGTGCCTCGATGAGCCCCCGTTGGGAGTGTGTGTATAAAAACTTTCAAGCTGCTAAATAAAAGTTGTTTATGCTATACCATTCATCAAGCATCAGCTGGTGTTTGGTATTTTAGTTATATATACTCTGAACCTCCTGACCCAGGGAAAGGGAATACGTGGAAGAGAGACTCAGTCCGAGTGTAGGAACTCCGTCATCACATCTTTTATTGAAATTTTGCATTTGGATACAAAAAGAGAATAGAAACCAGATAATCAGGTTTAGCAAGTAAGCATGTGAGAAAAAAACACCATTGATTGCTGCTTATTGTTCCTTAATTTCATTGTATCTTCAAACTCAGTCCGTATATAGTAACCGAGCTGGGAGCCAGGTATAGAGATAGAATGGAAGGAGGAAAAAACAGAAAGAAAGAAAAAGACAACCGAAGAACAAATCCCCGGTCAGGCGTGCAGGGGGAGACTGCCCCAAGGACTACACTACCGGAGATACAGGCCAAAGGCCTGAGGAGCATAGGCCTCTATCCTGAGACTCCAGGTTTTCAGGAAGTGATTTCATCAATATTTTTCCATTCTGATCAAATACCAGGTCCAGGCATCAAGTTGGGCCTGTGAGGGTGGAACTGCCTTACAAGTCTTAGCCAAACTGAGTCGCAGGACCACACATGGTCTGAAGATACATTTATGAACTGCACAAGGATGAATGAAGTCCCTATGTTCCCTATTTAGAGACCCATCCAGAGACCCAGCCCAACTATTTTGACCTAAAATGGTATATTGAACCGACAATGCTCAGCAATGCTTAGATTATTGAACAAACCTCTG